AGATCGGGACACTGTGCGCTGCTGGTGGGAATGTAAAGCGGTGGAGCCACTGTGGAAACAGTATGGCTTTTTCCAAAAAAGAAACAAACACAGAATTACCGTGTGACCCAGCAGTATCACTCCTGGGTGCATTCCCAAAAGCATGGGAAGCAGAGTCGCAAAGAGAGATTCGCACGGCCCTGTTCGCAGCAGCGTTATCCACCGGAACCAAGAGGTGGAGGAGCCCGTGTCCATCCACAGGTGATGGACACACACAGTGCGACCCATCCACACACGTCAGTTCTGACACCTGCTACCGCACGGATGAGCCTTGAGGATGGTGCTCAGTGAAGTCAGCCAGACACCGGAGGACAGAGACTGTGATTCCACTCAGAGGAGGTCCCTAGAGGAGTCAGATCCATAGAGACAGCGAGTGGATGGGGGGTGCCAGAGGCGGGGGAGGGGGAGTTGGTGCTTAAAGGGAACAAAGTTTCAGTTTGGGGACGTGAGAAGGTTCTGGAGACGGATGGTGGGGACGGCTGCCCAACATTGTGAATGGACTTACTGTCACTGCACAGGACACTTAGGAATGGTTAGGATGGTCCTGCCCATGTCGCTCAGGGGTACAGCATCAGCCCGAGCACCAGAGTCACGGGTCCCATTTCTGGTCAAGGGCACGTTCCTGGGTTGCAGGTTCCTTCCTCCCCACTTGGGCATCTGTGGGAGGCAACCAATCCATATGTCTCTCTCACATCTATGTCTCTGTCTCTCTCTCTCTCTCTCTCTCTCTCTCTCTCTCTCTCTCTTTCTCTCTCTCTCCCCTTTCCCTCTCCTTCCCTGCCACTCCCTCTAAAAATCAATGGGAAAAGTATCCATCATTAATAAATGTAAAAAATGTGTGTGTGTTTTTAAAAAAAGGGCACAGAGCAGACAGAGCACCGGAGAGATAAGGGGTACTCTGGCTGGTGTTGTAGGGGAAGAGGGTGGGTAGGCAAGAGCGGGGCTGGCAGTGAAGTTGTTATTTTAAATATTTATCCGGTCGGGGAATTTGGGGGGAATAATGAAGGTCCCGGCCGCTGCGGCTCATCAGCGCCATCTGGTGGCGGATACAGGCCACGCCGCCCACCGCCCCGCCTCTCGCCCGCAGGTGTCACCTCCTGTCCTCGCCATGCGGACCCCGCGAGTGCCCCCTCCCCGCCCGGCCCTACTGCTCCTGCTGCTGCTGCTGGGGGGCGCCCACGGACTCTTCCCCGAGGAGCCGCCGCCGCTCAGCGTGGCCCCCAGGGACTGTGAGTGGGGGTCCTGGGCGAGGGGGGGTCCGGAAGGAGGGTCTTGCTCCCCAGCTGAGCCCGCTGCCCCCTCCCTCAGGGACTCACGAGGCCAGGCTCACCCCGGCCCTAAATCACACTCCTCTCTTCCCCAGACCTGAGCCACTACCCTGTGTTCGTGGGCAGCGGGCCGGGCCGCCTGACCCCCACAGAGGGCGCCGAGGACCTCAACATCCAGCGGGTCCTGCGGGTCAACAGGACGCTGTTCATTGGGGACAGGTATGGGGAGTGTCCGGCAGAACGCAGCGTGGGAGCCTTTGGGGGAGATTTCATTGGGGCTTATTGTTTGGCCGGGTGTGAATGTGTGGACCTCGGGTGGCACTTTTAAGGGTCCTGGGCTCAGGTGTGGTTGGAGCCGGGTGCCTGCTATGGGGTGTTAGCAGATGGGACAACTGTTTGGCCAAAAGTCCCTGGGTGCCTCCAGGGGGTGCTGAGGAGGTGGCACTTGGTTTGAAACCTAAATGATGAGGAGGCAGCCGCGAGGAGATCTGGGGGAGAGGGGAACATCTGGGCAGAGGGCAGAGGGCAGAGGCCAGGACTGTGCCTGGCGGGTTAGAATAGCAAGGAAGTCTGCATGGCTGAGCACAGTGAGAGGGGGAGAGAGGAGGAGGTGAGGGCAGGAGGAGACAGAGGCAGATGGTTCAGGGCCTCCTGGCTTGAGGGGAAGACCGGTTTTTACCTGGAGGCAGGCGGGAGTCCTGGAGGCAGATGGGAGCCCTGGAGGGCTGTAGGTAAAGGGAGGGAGCCTGACTTAGGTGCTCACAGTCGCCCTCTGGTGGCTTCTTTGGGGAGGCAAGTTGGAGAGACTGATGGGGCTGGAATGGGGGGGTGGCCATGGAGGGGTGAGAAGTAGGTGAATTCTCAATAAACATTAAAGGCAGGGGAGACTGACGTGTTGGATGTGGGAGGGAGGAGAGGAG